TTAAAGTGCATAACATGTTTTAAATACCGATTATAACTGCCGATGTAACTGATCTTGGTGGTTATCCTAGGATCGTTGCACAGCATTGTTGTCAAAAGTGTTTTTTAGAAAAAATGTGTGTCGACATAGTTTTGATAAATTACTCAACATTTGTTCGTTTCCTCTAAATACACAATTGGTTAGTTCAGATAGTGGAGTTATCCGTTGTGAAGATGGTTATTATAACTAGTGATGGACAAATTGGAATTTTTTTCAAATTTCATGCGCATGGAATTCTGGCCCGTATTATGACAGCTTGCTGCTAATGCGGACCAGAATTATGAGGTTCCAAATATTCCAATGCGCATGATGCCCAACACCAGTTATAATCCACATGAACCTCATGAACTATGCAAGCCCCGTAATTGGACCAAATTTTTATTCTTTCAATTCTTTCAATAGAATATGGTATAAACTTGCTTAGCTATTTGAAAAACTTTTTTAAAAAATCCTTGTACATATTGCTTTTACAGATTCTATTCTGAATATATGAATCTAAATAGAATATATTTTAGATTTTAAATAAATTAGTTTAAGTCTTATTTTTATATTTATAATAAAAAAAACACTTTGCATATTTTTTCAAATTTCTGTACTATGACTATCAGGTGTTACCTACTGTATCACAAGGAAATCTCAAAAATTCTTTGAGATTTGATACTTTTTTTTTACTCTAAAAAAATAATTTCAATGATTCCTACAAAATTTAATCCACAGAATAATACTCATTTGTATACTAGATCTTTGGGCGAAAATACTGTACCTGATAATATTCGGGATATTTTCATTAATTGAAACTACTTTCAAATTCTACAGACTAATAAAATTAAAACTAAGGTTTAAATATTTAAATTTACCAGACAATTATTAAAAAAAATCTTTAATTTTCTAGTTAATTCAGGTTAGTGTTTATTAGATTCCTGATTCTCAGAAGTAATTTAAAAAGCACTATAAGTTTATTGTGATCTATCAAACATAAATTGTTCATTACATAAAATATGCAATACTAATACAGTACGTACGTACGTGGTTTTCATATTAATTTAATCATTTTTATTGCATAAAGTATCAATTACAGCAGATATATCTACAGCTCATGGCATAATGTTTAAGGTCATGTTGCGTAATCAACTCACAAGTGAACAGACAGTACTTAAGATGCTCTGCATTAATAAATGCTCGATTTTTTTTCCTGAAGTCTCAATGAGGGTTGCCAATTGATAAACTAGACATTAAATTTGCATAGATTGGATATCTATACATGTAAACTCTATATATCACATTTTCATTTTAGGACAAAAAATAATCGGACATGTAATCGCTTACATCACCGTTAGAATTTATAATTACTAGAAGTAATGCTATGGAAATTCTGCAAGTAACGAATTCCGGTCACATGAATATATTGTTATGCATAAACGACCTTTAATTAGTTACAAGTTAAAAGATAATGAACGATTGTTCGAAGGACATAAAGGTAGATGAGTATTACAGATTTTAAATTAGTTGATTAAAATGTTTATTTGGACTTTAGTATTTTCCTAGTAATAAAACACGATTCCTTGAATTAAGCTTGATGTATATTCTCTAGCAATATCCGATTCAATTAACATAAAGATTTCATTGCCATTATCGTTTATCGGAAGCGGATGACGAAACCGCACACATGTGCATTTTCTATTTAATAATATCTTTTCTTGCACGTACATACATACATAAATACGCATGTATAAAGGCAACTTGAATATAAAATCAAATTATGCATGTCTAATTTTTTTTTGAAAATTTAAAATTTCAAAATTTTGAAATTTAAAAAATTTGAAATTTTGAAAATTTTGAAAATTTTTAAATTTTCAAATTTCAAAAAAATTGCTCTTTGTTCCAAATGGAACACCATAACAAAGACATCTAACCCCGTTTTTAATTCACCTTTTTTATTAAACGGGGAACAATTTAATTTTGTCGTACCAGAATCATTAATGATCGTCAATTTCGATTATCAGATTATTTTTCGTATCAAAGAAAAATTTATCAATCTTTATTACTTCATTATCTTCTTTTGTTGGTTTGAAAATTATGCTATGTGTATATTGTTTTTTTTTTGAAAAAGATGCTACGTTCGCTCCTTTTCTATTTTTTAATTTAGTAATTTTCAATAATATACATTTTGCACATCTTCCTGGTATTTTTCTGGCGGTACTGGTTACAAATCATTTTATATCAATAACAAAATATCTTATCATGGACTTTTATACTTTTTTTATGTAGATTTAATTGGAACATTATTATATGAAAATAACATTATTAATTCATCTAAATGGACTCAAATCAGTAATATCGCAAATATCATATCGATAATTTACCGTTTTTATGTGGTAGGCAAATGATAAACGTTTCTTTGCAACAGAAGCTTCTTATGGAACTTCTGCTGGTGTATTTATTGATTCATATGATACTACGTTAAATAATTGGGAAACAAATATAAGTTTCACTGGAAAACCTAGTAAATATTATATATATCTTCCGTCTGGACTTCTGATGGACGTACAGGAAATCTTATTCAATTCAAGATATTTCCGATGTTGTAGATATTTTGATACAATTAATTTCGTATGGTCAAATAGTTCAGTATTCCCACAATCGTATACAACTTATATAGGTGCAGGTTTATACGGCCCTCCTCAAACTTTATTACCAAATGGTCAAATATTATATTTCGGTCAACCTTCAGGCGATCAAATAACGCTAATGACCAGCATACGTATTAGCTTACAATACAGTATAAAAACTGATTCATGGCAAATTATTGTAAAATCTTTTAATATACTAGTGATTAATTATATTAATTAACAATTGGATATTAACCTTTTATGCATAAATATATAGAATACTACAGGTAAAGTTCCAGGTATACGCAGTGCGTTAATGTTGCCTGACAAAACCACGTGATGCTAATTATCACATGCTATTACTTATAAAAAAATCAAAATGGACTGTTTTTTATATATATTGTACCGCGTGACAATTAGCATCACATGGTTTCGTCAGGCATCATTAAATACGGTACAGCAGTCTCAAGTATGTATTAGCAAAATCAATAAAAACCCTCACAATACAATAATATACATTATATACATTATTTACATTATTCACATTATTTTATATTGGGGGTGTCAAAGTTAACAAATAAGTGGCGCATTTTGAAATTATATGAGAGTTATTTGTTTTTCAAGATTTTAATATCGAAAAATGAAATGGGAGTGTTTGGAGATCCCATTTCATAAAATTGGGAAATTTTTTAATACTTCGTAAAAAAAAAAAAAAAAAAAATTAATGTAAACTTTCGTTCAAACTGAAGATCAGATTGCCGGATCACTTATTCAAAATAAATACGTCATCAATTTCAATTAAAATTAGATTTCCGCGGTTTAACTTTGAAACCTATTATTTATATTATTGATTTTAGCATCAGATGGACGCGTCATTATATATGGTGGTACTAGTGTTACTATTGTAGGGAAAGCGATGCGGATATAAGGTACGAGTTAGTTCCAATACTAAACGTGAGGTGTTATAGAAATATTTCCGTTTCAATATAACCACGTGAGGTGAGGTCACAGAATATATAGGTCGAACTCGTGCCAAACCGAATCGAGGCTTATACGATCAACTTTAAGGGTTCAATTTGGAATGCAAGATGCAATGTAAACACTTTAAGGATAGGCGAAATAAGGAATAATAATGTAGTGCAGGTCAATATTTTGGGAGAACAATCACGATAAGATAATAAGGGTATTTATGGAGGATAAATAATAATAACTTAGTTTATAGTTAGTTAGTAAGTATGAATAATTCAAATATAACGGTAATAACAATGGGAAATTAACAATAATTTGATATAATGATATTCACAAAAACTGTATTTAATCATTCGAGAAATTAATTCTTATTTTTACTTCATTAAAGACATCGAAGTCTGGGGAAGCTTTATTAACGAAAATGGCAGCCTTTAAATACATTTTCTTTTCTTATTAATTACTGCGCTATTATACTAATTTCCCCCTACAATACTTCCTACTGCCTGCGAGTAGATTGCTCGCAATCTAAAAAAAAAAGCCTCCTGTCGTCGGCTTTACTTATGCGCGCATTTTGCTCGCAATCTATCAGCCCCCTCTATCTATCGTATGACTTTTAATAAACAATTAAAGAAAAATAAACAAATAAAATTAAAAAATATCCAAGCCCAGATCTTTAGTACAGGGATCCGTGACACTAGTAATAAATTAGCAGTTACCCATTTATAGTAGTCTTGAATACTTCTAACTATGAATGGTCAGTACCAACAGAAATAATTCCTAACACACATCAATCATAGTTAATAATTATGTGATTACAGAATCTGGTATTTATAATTTTCTATATTTGCAAATTATATAAAGAAATTATTAATTTATTTATATTTAATTGTCTTTAATCGCTTTTAATTTCAAAGGTACAAATGTGAGAAAGAGATTCTTCTAAAGAATGGAGTAAAATTGGATTTATCTTATCCATTGACTTATAAAAGGCTTTATTATCTACTTAGCACCATTTAATTCGACATTTAATTTACCAAAATATAACTCCTCTTCTCATTCTCCGACTTTGAATGATTCATCTCCTTCGAATAATAGTTTGTTTATTGGTATTTGTGTTTGCGTGGGTATAATCAGAATTTTATCTTTTGCCGGGTTTTTCTTTTACAAAAAAACTCAATCATATTTTAAAGAAAAATATATTGCAACACCTGGTAGTATTCCTTATTAAGGTCTAAAATATATAGTTAGTTTTTGGAATGATAATCTCTACGAATTTTTTTTTTTCTTAATTTTTCACTGGGAGTGAATTAGAACTTTTTTTTTTTAAATACAGTCAATTATTTTATAGATTGTTTTATTTGTAGAAAAGAATAAAGAGGTTTAATTATATATCAGATTACATATTTGGCTTTTAAAGCCAAAAGAAATTAAAAAAAATAATATAGGATAACATAAAAAAAGATATATTTTATATTATTATTAATAAACAGATTTGTCAAAATGTGAATAGAGCAATATTATTTTGCTGCCTCGAGAATAAAATTTGTAGAGTAATAAATTTTACTAGTATATTTCATTTCATCGTAAATTTGGTCATTCGCATTTTCAATATCTAATAACAAATTTTCAGATTGAGATAATTCTAATAATATTTTCTCGTCGTCATTCCATTTTGAAAAAATATCATCAATTTTTTCTGCAGTTGGGCGATTTTCTGGGCATTTTTCCAAACATTCTTTCATTAGATTTATATAACATTGTGGTATATCCTTAATAATTGGTGGCCTTAAGTTATTACAACATATTTCTATTTGAAGTTGTTGATTAAATTCTCGATTGTAATATACTGATTTCCCATATAATATCTCCCACATAATTATACCAAATGAATAAATGTCAGATGCTGTAGT